GTTTTCCTTAGATAGAAAACTGTGAATTAATCTGACTGTATGATCTGGAAGTGCGTTGAGATGACATGTGTTGCGAATTGGTGCTACAAAAACAAACTGAATTGAACTATATAGCTTTAAATATTACAAAAAAATAAATAAAGATCAGATGTGTGGATGAAGCTGTATTTCTACATCTATGGATCAGGTCTAAATGAACCAGGACTTCTATAGAAACATTTCAGGAGTCCTCTATGAACCATTTAAAGGGTTTGAATAGATAAGGTTTGATGTCATCAGCATAAATGCGATCCAATATGTTTTAAAGTGCTCAACCAGCTAATAAGGAGGAACAGTGGTGGGAAAAATGAAGGGACCTCAACATTGATCTTTGAGGCATCCCTTTAAGAATGAAGCTGAGTGAAAACAGATTATTTTGTAAACCAGACTCTGTGGAATAATCTGTGTTAGACCCTGACCAAGATTCCCCTCTTGCAGAAAATTGATCCCTCCCTGAGATGTATGGGATGAGGACTGAGGTGCAGCTTTAGGTAGCCAATAGGGGGTTGGGTGTTCGTAAGTGAAGGCAAGCGGTTAGAGGAACACTAATAACCTGTTTTTACTAACCAGAAGAATCATTCCTGTTTCATTCCAGGATGATGATCTGAGGATCCGAATCTACGGCAGCAGAAGAAGAAGTATTCTCCTCCACTCTGACCTCGCTGCCTCCAATGGAATCATCCATATCATAAGTAAACTGATGGACAGCGTCCCACCCACCGTGCAGAGCAAACCAGACGTGAGACCTTCTAACATTGCAGAACTCTGGGCTCTCTGTTGGACTTTGACATGTGGACTGCACTGTGACATCATGATGTTCTTCTACAGGAGAATCTCAAGAAGATCATCTCTGACTATGGAAAATTTGAGACCTTCAAATCCCTCCTGGAGGTGCAGTATTCAGAGTACTTTTTTTCCACACACATGTTAATGCCTCGTCACATTACTCCTTGTTTTAGATTTAAACGGAATTTCTGAGACAAGTAGCTATCGGAGGCTCTTTCGAGACAGTTCTGCTGTGACCCACCCCCTTTGTGGAGACCCTGAATTGTGTCCACTTGATTCTGAGGGAATTTGTCTCAGCTGTTGACCAAGTTTACCACAGTTTCAACAGGTGTCACATTTCCCAGCTTCCTCAGAGCTCAGTCCAATGAACTCCTGATTCTGTTCGCTGGTGGTGTTGGTTCTCTTTTTCACCCAGAACATGACGATTCTGAAAGATAGTAGAAGGAACTCGTCTTTTCTTTCTTAAAAACGTTTTGTCCAAAATCCAGAATCCAAATGTCCTAATGAAAGAACAGATGTTCAGCTGCTGTCTTCTGAATGGACACTCTGTAGGATCAAATTTATCTACTGCAGTTGACAGGAAATCTTTCATATCTTTGCAGAAGACCGACCTTGCGTCTGTGATGGACCTTCCTGGACCCATCACGGTCTTCTCTCCCACCACTTCAGCATTTGAGGCAATGAAGGAGGGATACCTGCAGTTCCTCCGCAGTCCAGAAGTTAGTAAGAACCAAACCTTGGTACCGTGGAGGAGCTGGGATTTATTTATATCTTTAACTGTTTGGAATCAATCTGAACCCTCAGGGTCACACCAAGCTGAAGGAGTTCCTCAGGAACCACATCATCCCATCCGCCTCGGTGAGAACCAGCTAGCTGTCACAGTTGTAACTGACTCTGTAGCTTCCCCTAAACATCGTCCTGTCTTCTCTCCTAAAGCTGGAGGTCTATAACATAGTGTCAAGCCCCACATTTGTGACGATGGCCAATCAGGTCCTGGTCGTCAATGTAACAGAAAAAGTAAGTTTGTGTGTTTAGAAACCTGCAGCCGCTGATCCGCTTACTGATGTCTGACAGGACCTCAGCTCAGTTTCTTCACACTGCTTGACATATTTCCACACTCCTCCCTGCATTGCACACATTGGTCATTATTTTGAACACTGAATATGTTGACCTGTAATGTTCCTGCTACCGGCTGATTCAGGGACAGATTCTGGTGAATGGAGCGGCCGTTGTGGAGGCGGCCGTGGAAGCTAGAAATGGACGGCTGTATGTGATGGACAGGGTTCTGACTCCACCCTCCATCGAACCTTTGCTGCCCCACAGGTGTGACATTACAGAGAACAACACTGTCAAGGTAAGGTGTTTTAGTGTCCTGCAATCCTCTGACCTTTCTGCATTAATAAGATCCATCCCTGGTTCTGCCCGGGGTGTTATAGTCCATAAGATCAGAGGATCTGCAGGTCACAACATTCAGTAACTGACCATCATCACTGATGACGGCAGCTCCAGAAAAGCATCAATCACTCAAAGCTACCTGTACGCAAAGTGTATTTCAGCCCTGGGAGGGGTCAAAGGTCATCTACAAACTACCTGAAGTCCATCATCCTGTAAAGAAGAGCGGGATGTCCTAAAACTTCCAGGCCAGGAAGGTTAAAGGTCATGACCCTTAACCTGTCTGGAGAGGTTGAAGGACTTAAGCCTGGTTTATGCTCAGAAACCAGGCCGTCTGTGTGTGTGTCGCAGTTAACGCAAATATGCCCCCCCTTCCGCAGACACTCTAATGCACCTTCCAAGACTTGTATTTGACCGCAGACAGTGTCACTGACAGGAGGCCTCTGATTGGTCAAATCTACATCCGCTCTACACTCTGCGTATTTCCTGTTTGGTACCTAATAGCAGAAACTCTGGCTGTAGTGCAGTCCACAATGTCTGGCTAACTAACCCAGACACTTTACAGGACGCTAATTTGTAGCTCAGCGCGACGGTCTGTTGGTTTCCACCTGAAGCCAAAACATGCAGCGCTGCGGCCAATCTTTCGTGAACACTTACGGGTGAACCGTGTATCGTCCGGCGTTGGATGAGGGGTTGTAACCAACACACGGACACACACAATCCTAGCTAGTTCGTGATTGTCCCTCTTGCTTTGTGGCGTGGTATAACATAGGGCAGACCACACTACAAAATTGGGCATACATCAAAAATATCTGCGTCATATCTGTGACTAGCTAACTGCGACATACTGCTGCGGGAGTATACACAGCCCTTTAGGTTAGCAAAGCTGAATCCCGATGAAGAACAAGACTTCTGGAACAAAGTAAAGGCCGTGAAATATGTGGGTTGGTTCTCCAGCTAGATCACCCGGGGCCCTCTAAAAAACAGAGTACTCTAAAGGTCCAATCTGGGTCCCATCAACAGAACAATAAAACCAAGCACGGGCGCAGATCCTGTCACAATGGCTTGGAGGTTTTTGAGGGCTCAAATCTAGAGAACAGGAGTTAGAGGTGATTCTTGAAGATTTAATGAAGAACAGAGTCAGACAACCAAAAATCCAAAATACTAAGAATCAAAAAACCAAAAAGCATCAGGGAAAACTCAAGTGGGAAGTCAGAGACGAGGGAACAACAAATAACGACAAGAAACCAGCACTGAGTGACTGCATAGGTGGAATATATAAGGGGAACAGAACAAAGGATGGACTAATGAGCTGAATATGGAGCAGGTGTGAGTGGAACTAACTAGAGGGAAGACAAGAAAGGAAACAAAGACAAGGGGGCAACAAAGAGTAACTAAAGACTGCTTTAATATAATAGAAAAATAAACCAAAGATCAACAAAACAGAATAACTGATAACTGAAAACTAAAAACTAAAAACTAAA